AATTAGGATGTGTCTTGGTGTTGTCCTCTTCAGATCCAAGTTGTTTGGGACTCTCTGTGCTTCCTGGACTTGTATGTCTATTTCTTTCACCAAATTAGAGATTTTTTTTCTTTCATTATTTTTTCAAATAAGTTTTTAATTTCTTGTTCTTCCTCTTCTCTTTTGGTACCCCTATGATTTGGGTGTTGGTACATTTGGAGATACCCCAGAGTTTCCTAAACTTATCCTCCTTATACCATCCTCATCTTTTTTTATTCCTTTATCTTCTTGCTGTTCTGATTGAATACTTTTTTTTCCTTATGTTCCAGTTTGTTAATTTGAATCTTGGCTTCATCCCCTCCACTGTTGGTTCCCTGTAGGTTTTTTTTTTGTTTGTTTGTTTTAAATTTCACTTAACGTAAACCTCATTTCTCCCTGGGTTTTTTGTTTTTGTTTTTGTTTTTTGCTGTTGCTGTGCTCAGTGAGTGAGTTCTTTGAGCATCCTGAAAACCAGTTGTTTGAACTCTGCATCTGATAGGTTAGTTATCTCCATTTCGTTTGCTTCTTTTTTTCTGGGATTTTGTTCTGTTTTTTCATGTGGGCCATATTTCTGTCTCCTGAATTTGGCGGCCTCCCTGTGTTTGTTTCTGTGTATTAGGTAGCATGAATTTGACTCCCTGCCTTATTAGTGTGACCTATTGTAGAAAAAGCACCTGTAAATTATGTGGCAGAGCCTTAGGTAATTGCCAGGGCGGGGCAACTCACTTCACTACTTTGTGGCTCTGTGTGTGGGGTGGGCTCAGAAAGGGAACAATGCCATTGCCTGGCTTCTGGAGGTTTGCTTGGCACTCACCCTATTTCCAGTCACTTCACTTTCTCCCTGTATGTAACTGATGACCTTCGAGTTATTGCCCTGGTGCTGAATCCCAGAGGGGGTAGGCCTGCTTTAAGTACAAGTCCATGCAGGCCCTTTAACAGGAGTCTCCTAAAAATCCAGCAGTTCCTTCTGCTGCTCCAACTCCCACTAATTTTTACAGCCAGAAGTCCTGGGGATTTATCTTTGTGGCACTGAAACCCTGGGCTGTGTGGTCTGGCCTGAGTCTGGGATCCCTTGCTCCCAAGGTATCCCACCATGTGTGAATGTGGGACTGCCCATTCCACCACCCCTCCGTGTGACACCATGTCTCTGCACTTCCTACCCATCTGGATGAATGCCTTCTTTAAATCTTTGGTCGTTGGACTTCCATACAGCTTGATTTTCTGATGGTTCTGGATGTTGTTTTGAGGTCTAGTTGTAATTTTTTCTGTAGTTGTGTGAGGAGGTGAAACGTGTTTACCTATGTCTCCATCTTGACCAGAAGTCCTAGTCCTTTTATTTTTTAATAGTGTCTTTTGAAAAGTACTTGGTTTTGACCAAGTTCAATTTATCACTTTTTTTCTTTTAAGCATAGTTCTTTAGGTATCATACCCAAGAAATCATTCCCTAGCCTACAGTCACAAATATTTTTCCTGTTTATTTTTATACCCAGAAGTTTGAAGTTTTATATTTAGATCTAGGATCCATTTTGTGTTTTCACATGCAGTATGAAATTTTGTTTATTTTTGTCTAGGATACCCAAATGTTCCAGCATTATTAGCTGAAAAATCTTTTCTTCCACTTAATTGCTCTTGTCCTTTGTTGAAGATCATTTGATCATATATGAGACTTCTTTGGAACTCTCTACTCAGTTTAATCTGACAGTTCCTTTCCTTTATATCATTTCTACACTACCTGAGTTAATGTAACTTTATAATAAATATTGAGATCAGGCAGTGTAATGCAAGTTCTCCAACCTTGTTTTTCTTTTCTTTTTCAAAGTTGTTTTGGTTATTCTAGGTCCTTTGCATTTTCATGTTTATTTTATTTTTATTTTTTAAAATTTTATTTATTTATTTTTAGAGAGAGGGGAAGGGAGGAAGAGAGGGAGAGGAACATTGATCAGTTGGTTGCCTCTTGCATGCCCCCAACCAGGGATCCAGCCTGCAACTCCCTGCACGTGCCCTGACCAGGAATCAAACTGGTGACATTTCCATTTGCAGGACATGCCCACCCCACTGAGCCACACCAGTCCGGGCCATTTCCATGCAAATTTTGGAATTACTTTGTCAATTACTAAAGAAAACCTACTTGGATTTTACTGGACTTGTGTTCAATCTATTGATCAATGTGGGGGAAAAGTGACATTTTACAATATTATCTGTCAACATTTTACAGTACTGAGTCATGTCATGGCCTATTTGTCAGTTTGTGTGTTAAATTTGTCAGCATATTTTAAGTTTTCTGTGTAGAACTTGTATATCTTTTACTAAACTTATTTTTAAATATTTCATATTTTTGTCAATTTTTTAAATTTGAACTTCAGATTGTTGTTAGTATAACACAATTGACTGTTGTATTGTATATTGATTTTTATATTGTTGTCTTGCTGATTTATTAGTTCCAGTAGCTTTTTGTTGATCATATAGGATTTTCACCATACATCATGTCATCTGCAAATTAAGCCAGTTTTACTTCTTCTTTCCAGATGACTTTTAGTTCTTTTTCTTGTCTTACCGTACAGGCTAGAACCCCTATTACAATGTTGCAGAAGTGGTTAGTGCAGATATCCTTGCCTTGTTTCTGAACGTAGGGCCAAACCATTCAGTTCTTTATCATTAAGTATGTTGTTTATTATAGATACTTTTTATCAAGTCAAGGAAGTTTTTCTGTATTACTAGGACATTAGATCTTGTCCAATGCTTTTGCTTCATCTATTGAAACAGTCATATAGTTTTACTTTCTTAGTCTTAGCTAATACAGGGAATCATATTGTTTGATTTTCCATTGTTAATTCAAACTAGCATTCCTGGGATAAGCCCCTATTTGGTCATGATGTATTATTGTTTTTATGTATTGTGAAATAAAAATAGCTAGACTTTTGCATCTATATTTTTGAGGAAATTGGTCTGTAGTTTTCTTATAACATCTTGGGTTTGGGTATTAGAGTAATGCTGGCCTTATAGGATAAACTGGAGAGTATTTCCTCTTCTTGCATTTTCTGGAGGACTTTTGTGGAATAGGAATTTCCTTTTCCTTTAAAAATACACCATATTAACACTATAAAAAAGAAAGCTGGAGTGGCTATATTACCACCAGATAAAGTACACTTTAGAGCAAGGACTATTATTAGAAAAAAGAGGGTCATTTTTAAAGTGGATCATTTCATAGTGATAAAATAATTTTCATAATCAGTTTCATTAGGGATAAATTCACCTGAATAATGAACAATTCTAAGTTTATGCAACAAATAGCAGAGCTTCAACACGCATGAAGCAAAACTGATAAGAACAAGGAGAACTAGAATAATCCACAATTACAGTCAAATATTTTAATACTTTTCTCTTAATAATAGAATAAGTAGACAGAAAATTAGTATGTTCTAAATTCCCTAGAACTTTAAAGATTTGAACAATAGTATCAACCAACTTGATGTGATTGACTTCTGTAGAACACTGCACCCAGCAACTGCAAAACACACATTCATTTTAAATGCACATTGAACATTTACCAAGGCAGACCATGTTCTGGGCTACAGAACACATCTCAATAAATTTAAAATGATTCAAATTATACAAAGTATATTATCTGATCCTAACGAAATTAGAAATCAATAACAAAAAGATATCTAGAAAATACCTCAATATTTTGAGACTACATAACACACAAGAAACCTATGGTCAAAGAAAAATCTTTATGGAAATTATAAAGTATTTTGAAATGAAGGAACACAGAAACACAATATACGGGGTCCAGCACAAATAATGCCCCTTTTTTATTACAAAACCATAAGCATGTAATTCTGTAACAACAATATCACACTGAAGCACACCACATGACATTTTAGGTGAAATGTTCAAATTAAAACGATAAATTATTACACCCATATTTTTACCCTACCAACCCCAGTTAAGCAGGTGTTACTTCTGCCCTACCCTGTATCAGAATGTTTGGGATGCAGCTAAAGTATTACTTTGAAAACACATCCCAACAAATGCTTGTATTATGAAACAAGAAACATCTCTAATCAATGACCTTAGTTTTCAAATACAGAAAGTATAAAATTAGTATTGTAGAATTGTACCCCTGGCACTTATATCATTTTATTAACCAATGTGACCCCAATAAATTCAATAAAAAGGAAACTATAAAATTAATTTCAAAACTTAAAAAAATTTAAAGGCAGAAGGAAGGAAATAGAACAAATAAATGAAATAGAAAACAACCAACAGAGAAAATCTATGAAAACAAAAGCTGGCTTTGAGACTTGAGATCAGTAAAGTTGATAAACCTCTCCCCACATTGATCAGGAAAAAAGAAAGATGACGCAACCTACCAATTTCAGGAATGAGTGGAGGGTAGGTTTTATAGATAGGAAAGGACAATAAAGAGTATTGTTAACTCAAGTACACCGGTACATTCAACAACTTACATATCTTCACAACTATTAAATCCCATTGGGGAAGAAATATTATTTGTTGAATTAAGGAATGTCAGCTATTATAATGGGCAAGGTTCTGAGTGCAGGCTTAAGCGATAAATAGGGGATTTTATACTCAAGCAGCTCTCTGTTGACGGGCGGGGGTAGGGTGTAGGGAAGAGCAGTTACAGCTAAATACAATTCCTTGCAGAAGAATGACGGAAAACTGGGTTTGGAAAAGCTTCTCCGGGGAGGAGTCACGCGCCTGAGACACCAGGAACCAGTACGTGTTTATCAGACCAAGAACTGCTCTCCGTGAGCAGGCTGCCCTCCGCCGATTGCTTAGCTCCGCAGTGTCAGGGTAGTCCTAGTCCTTTCCCAAAGAGCCCTTAGGGGCCTACCGACCACCGCTGAACTAAGGCCGGACCCCCAGCAACCGTGCGCCTGCGCATTTTAGCAAAGCGCTCGCAGGAGGCGGGGGATGTTGCCGGAAATGTGACTTTTCTCCCTGCTCTTCCCATCCGGGGTCACGTCGGTCTTCCGGGTATCTCTGACAGAGCTTTCTGCGCCTCTTTTTGAGCGACTTTTTGGTCTTCCGCCTCCTGTCACCGCCTTTAATCTCCTACACATTTGCTGGCCCTGCCTTTTCTCGTGTCTCTCCTCCCCGGCCGCGGAGTCCGGGGTTTAGAACGTAATCCGATTCCGGAGCCGGGCCTAGCCATTCTGCGGGCCACTACCTCTTTGACTCAGGCGAAAACTACGGCGGAGCGCGCGGGTCCGTAGCTGCTCCGGCCTTGGAGCTCCTGGGCGGGCAGTGCCGGTAGGCCCTGCCCCAAGGACACCTGTGAGTCAGGGGGTTTCGGAGCGGGACGCACCGTGAAGGCCCAGGTCGAGGGCGGGGCGCGGGGAACTTTTTTGAAACTGTACTGTTTTGTTTGCGTGGGAGGTTCCGGCAGTATCTCTTCCCCAGACTTATGGGTGGCCCCTTGGCTGCTGTACTTGTTGAAGAGTGTGGGACCGTTTAGTTTTTCCACTCGTTTCCTTTCCTCGTGCCCCGTCCTCGATCTAGGACCGAAAGAGGAAGATTGTCATGGGATCCTGCATGGTGTTTCAAAGGACGGTTTAAGTGGGCATGAGTTTGGCTCTTGCCTCAGTTCTTCACGGAAAGTGTACAGATTAGGACTGTCAGATTATTGCATACTCTGACCACCCCCACCTCCCCGCGCCCGTCCAGCTTTTGTAGATGGGCTCTTCATCTCTCTTTCTAGTCCATAATAGGAGGGATTTTTGTGCCTCACAATTTCCGGATTATCCATGTATCCTATCTTGTTTTAGCTCTCTCAGCTTTTTGTTTAAAATAGCAGTTGTTTATTTAGTTTGCGTCTACCAGTAGGGTGAACAAAAAAGACACAAACTGTAAACTCAAGCTAACTTGGCGGCTCGTTGCCAGATGTGTAGTAAAAGAGATGCTAAACTGAACACTTAAGTTCGTATGTTTGCATTACTGGGAACATACTCTTTTTGTAAATGCCATCATATTGTACGGCTTATTATCACAGGGCATTAACATGTACTGATTAACAGCCAAAAAGGCTCGTACTATGTACTGATAGCCAATAATAGTAACATTACTTTGTTGGTGTGTTATCCCCAATTAAGTCTGATGTGGAAATAAATGATGTGTAACAGACTCCATGTGAAACAGGTCATTTGAGAAATGTCCATTTCAAACCATGCAACTAGATTATTTTTTTCAACACTTGGGTGGAATCTAATTCTTAATAAAAAGGAATGGCCTTTCTAAAATCTGCAAGTGGTTTTGACAGTGGGTGAGCAAGATTTACAAATTGGACTTTGCACTGTGGAAAAAGAGAAGTGAGTTTCCGGGATGGATCAAAGGCATTTGGACGAAGTGAAGCGATAACTTGACTTGGCCACTACAACTCTGAGTTTTATACTAAGTAGATTGTGCTTTCCAGGGAATCCTGATGAAGGAATTATGTAACCTTGTGTGTTCTCTAATCTTGGAGGAGAGGTCAAGTTTAGGATAAATTCCAGGCTGTAAGGTCCATGATCAAATACTATAGCACTAAGAGTTACTTTGTAAACTAATCTGTTACAGCTTATCTCATGTATAATTATTTACAAATAAACCTGTATAGTTTCTCATTGGGTCAATCTTAATCAGAAGCAATGCTTAAAGTTCCTTAAAGCTGGAACCAGTGCAGTGGTTTTAAAACTGTTCCGAATTTACTTAGATTATTCTATTTTGTAATCAAGTACAGATTGAGATACGTAACTTTCAAGCTAAGAAAAATAGGATGTCACCAATATCTGGATTTTAATCCTTTAGTATGAAATTTCTTTTACTTGCTACCACAGTTAATGTGATGTAGTGTTTTACATATATCGATTATTAACTACTTAGTAAAGACTTTCATTCAGAATATGGAGAGAACAATTTGCAGTGCTGTGGAGGTCCCCTTAATTCTGATGTCATAATAGTTTTGCTGAAACTGTATTCTGTTTAAAAAATGATCCCTTATAATGCTTATGATAGGTTGTTATTTTGGTGACATTTATATTGTCATAAAAATCAGAGTTGAAATGTATTAGAAAAAAATATTAGAAAGAGGAATCGAAATTCATGGGCTTTTCGTTTACTTCCTTATCCCTAGATGGTCATACAGGATACCTATGTTGGGGAGCATTGAAAGCCATTGGTTATATTCCCTAGGAATGTTTCTCTTTACCCTGAGGGCTGATCTGGTAACAGCCAGACTTGAAGGCCAAGATTCATACTGAGGAGAAGCTGACCAATGTTTTGTTTAGAGGGTCTCCAAAAATTTTAGTGCTTATCTGGAAATTTGAGATAGGTTGAACTCAGTATCTACCCTGAAGTAAATTTTTTGCCATGGGATCATTCTAAGTTTTTAAGCCTTGCATAATTTGTTCATTAGTTTTGTAGAACACGACTGGGCCACAAGACATGTTTTGACTTATTCTCAATTTGGATCTGACCCAGGTAATGCAATAGGAATAGGCTAGGTTTGGGCTGTTAAGGCACTTTCAGTTTTCATGTCTGAATGCATGAGTATAGGACTTTATTGGGCTGTTGAAGAAAAACACACATACAGGGTTTCTCGTTGTGAGTATGCAAAACAGAGTTTATTCTTGTATTATTATTCATTATTGTATTATTTTCCATAGGAACAACAGTAAGCCTACTTTGTCCCACACTATATTATTTATAGGTATAAATAGTGTCATAGAATTTTAACTTTGAACTTATTTAAATAAATCTGAAATAGAATGTTTTAATTCTAGCTTTTCTGAATACAAATTCCATCCTTTGTTGATCATATCTATAATTGTAGTAATCTCTATTCCAACAAAATGAAATATGAAACAAAATTTATTACTATAATGACTTGTATTTAATGTCCTTTTCTGAGGAATTATATTAAATAGGAATTATGTTTTATGTGTGTGAGTTGAGTCAGGGAAGCGCAGTAAAGAAGCCCAAGAAAGTGTGAACCCAGGCAAAGGGTAGAACAAGGCATTAGCTGCTACACTTGAATCTGCCATTCTATGATTATTGAGTATACTTTTAATACAGATTCTCTGGAGTACGGCTTAGTTCAAGATATTTTCCATTTCCTCTGAGCAGTTAAAATCAGTAGTGTGGTAGATTTGATAGGATTAAAAAAAAAACTATGACAAGAGATAAAGGCCTGCTGAAGAAAGTTGACAAACCTGTTTTCTGGAGGCAACATTTGTCTTTGATTCAAATGAGAAAGTCAGGCACTTGGGATGAGATCTAATGGTGGTCAGAGACTCTTGTCCAAAATCTGTTTGAACCCAGGCCTGATGAATCTCACTGTCTGTGGCCAGCCTAGGGAATTGACAAAAAAGGGACAAAATTTATATGATTGATTTATTTATTTATTGCAGCTCTTTCTCTTTCGTTGCCTCCTGCTCCAATTTTTCCAGCCGTCTTGTGTCAATTCCCAGAAGCAACTACCTTTTTTCAAAGCTGTTTAAATGTTCTTTTCCTGCCCTGGCTGGTGTGGCTTAGTGGATTGAGTGCTGGTCTGCGAACCAAGAGGTCACTGGTTTGATTTCCAGTCAGGGCACAAGCCTTGGTTGCGGGCCACGTCCCCAGTGAGGGGCACACAAGAGGCAGCTACACACTGATGTTTCTCTCCCACTCTTTCTCCCTCCCTTCCCCTCTAGCTAAATATATAAATAAATATAAATGTTCTTTTCCTCTGTTCTAAAAAAAGTCTCCTATAACTTATTTTTTGGATTGATAACTGCTGAAAATGAAGATTAACATCTTTAGGTACTGTCATAAATTGTGATGTATATAAACGTAGATACGAATGGGGACCCAAAAATCCCTGGAATTTATTTATAAATATTTGTGGATTCTTACATATTTAAACCTCAGTCACCTTCAAAGTACTCTCCGTTTGATGCAATACACCTATCGAGCCTTTTTTCCACTGCTCAGAACAGTTTGGGAACTCATCCATTTTGATGCCATTTAGTACTTCTGCTGTTTTTTAATTCATCTTTTCCACATTGGCAAAATGTTTTTCTTTGAGGACTTTCTTCATCCAGGGAAACAACAACAAAAAAAAGTTGCTTGGGGTGAGATTGGGTGAATAGGGAGGAAGGGATACAGGGGTTATGCAGCTTTGGGTCAAAAACTGCTTAGCACTCATTGCACTGTGGGCAGGTGCACTCATAAGGCACTCATCATGAAATGGGCAAAAGCGCATTGAAAGAGTATCCAAAAAAAAAAAAAAAAAAAAAATTCACTGAGGCCGAACACAGCCTCTTACAACAAGGCTAGTTGGTACTGATGCAGATGGATTCTTGGACCACTCACCTAGTGGGGGAATCCTCTACTACAAGGTGCCTACCCTCCAGAAGAAAATTCAGAAAATTCTGTTTTTTTGGGGGGGTCCCCTCTCATATATAACATATAATAATATATGAATATATGTAATCTTTAAATACCATATGTAGTAAATGATGTAAATATAATTTCTGTATTCAATGTTTGTATTGTAGGAACCAAGGTAGGTAACTGATTATATTTACTTTTTTATAGGACCCTTTGTGCTTTTTCTGTTGTTTAGTAATTTATTTTTAGCTTGCTGCTTTTCCATTCCTATAATTATTTCTGCTCTGTCAGCAGAACTGCTCTCTTTGGTCAAATACATCGGTAATCTACCAATTAACCTTTTTTTCCCCCTTTGGATATTTTCTTGAAGCCCTTTATCCTCTCTAATTCAATTCTTAGCTTCCCTTTACCATCATCCTGGGGAATTTACTTTGCCTCTGCTATGTGTTGGATCTTCCTTTTCCTAGATCCCAGGTTTTCTTGGTCCTTTTTTTTTTTTTTTTTTTTTTTGATAACTTACATGTCTAAAAAAGCTTTTTACCTCCTTTGCATTGATGATATAGCTAGGTATAGAATTACAGCTTGAGAGCATTTCCTTCAGAGACTTGAAGACATTGACTTCATTGTCTTGTGGTTTCTACTGTTGCTTTAAAACCATTTTGATTACCAATCCTTTGTTTATAACATTTTTCTCTTAATATTTTATATGCTTTTTTTTGATACTCTGAAATTCTAAAATTTCACTCTAATATGCCTTGATTTTTTTTTTTTTTTTAAGAAAAACCATGCTTTGTACTCCTTGGATCCTTTAAATATAAGGATTGGTGTTCTTCAGGCTTGGAATATTTAAACATTTGGTCATTCTTTTTTTTTTTTTTTAATTTTCTTTGTTCCTGGAGCTTATGTTATGTTGGATGTTGGACCACATAGTTTGAGGTTCTTATATTTTCTCTCTTATTGTCCTGCTTCCTTTCTGGCCTCATCATTTTTTCCTTCTAGGGATTTTCTCAATGTTATCTTTTAACTTTTTGCAGGATATTTCTGCTTTCAGTTTTATAATTTCCAAAAGCCCCTTCTGCTTTTTAACAATATATTTTTGTTCTGTATATGCAATATTTTTTCATTAGTTAAGGAGAATTTTGAGGGCTTTTTTGTTTTTGTTTTTTTTTTTTACTTTTCATTTGTTCTTGGCATTGTTTTTGTTTACTCTCAGGTATTTTTTTTTCTTTTGGCATCCATGATGGTAATTTTAAGTGAGAGATATTAGAAATCTAATTGGAAGAAGCTCTGTGTGCATGGGTAGGCAATTCAATAGTAGGCCTTACTGTAGTTGCCAGCAGGCTTGACTTTTCTTTGGTGGAAACCTATTACTATGTTATATAGATTTTCTGATTACTATATTATATGGTTTCTTTCTCAGTTATTCCAAAAATGAGTTTTCTAATTTCCTGCTTTAGGAAGGTAGGTTGGGGATTATTTTTACTTTGTAGATTTAATACTTGTTTTCAGTTTGTTACCTTACTCTACTCTTTGTAGGTTTGTAGCCTTTAGGGATCAGTCATTGCAAAGAAATACCCAGATTTCTGCCAAGGTCAGTGAGTGGTTCTGATTGCTTTGTGTACAAGGTTTTCCCTATTTTTATGGCATAAGCCCTTATATTGAAAGTCCTTTGTATAAGTTACTTAGATTTTGAAGGGAATCTCACAATTTTATAAATAATTATTAGGCAATACAAATTTCCTCCTTCCTTTGGTCAGATCTGTAAGATCTCAATCATGGGAACCAGATTTCATGAGATGGCTTATACCTTTACATAAATTATATTGGGAATAAATGTAGGAATCTGTAGGGTTTCATGAAATGTTTCCCTTTTTTTAAAAATCAGTTTTCTTTTTTATTAGAGTATGTGGCATTAACTTGATTTCTAAAAGATTGATATTAGGCTAAATTTATTAGGGAACATTTATCAGAAATTTTGAAACATATATTGTACTTTCATTTGAATAATACTATGGTTAATCTAGATTTAAAAATCTTTATTACAAGTTTTTTTTTTGTACCAATAGTATGACTGAAGACATCTATTTCAACTTTTAAAAATATCTGCAAATAAAATTCATAACTCCGTAACTAATTGTTTTAAATAGCAGATATTGGTTAACCAGAGTTCAGTATTTTTAAGTTACAATAATTTGTCTTTTAAAACTGTTCTAGGTGGAAGAATACATGTTCACTTTTAGTGAACAAGAGCATGTTCCCAAACTCAATTTTGGGTCGTCCACCTTTCACGCCAAACCATCAACAACATAATAACTTCTTTGCTCTGTCACCAACTCTTTATTCACATCAGCAGCTTATAGATGCCCACTTCAACTTTCAGAATGTAGAGTAAGTATGGAAATATTTTGGCCTGTATCATTTGTAAATTTTGTTTTCTACTTGATGCAAACTCTTTTTATATGAAACATGAAGTTAGAGAAAAATGCCATTATGACATGTTTTCTTTTGATCAGTGAAATACTTATTTTTTTCTGAAAAAATATTTATCACTATTGTTTTTTGTTTTTGGTAGCTTGTCTAGAGCTGTGTCATTACAGCCATTGACATATGGAAATGTGAGTCCAATACAGACTTCAACTTCCCCATTATTTCGAGGAAGGAAGTAAGTACCTCTTATTTTAAAATAAATGTTTGCATATCTTTTATTAAAATTGTATGGACATTGTGCCCTAAATTTTTTTCCTGGGATGTGTGCGATCAGTCCTGTCACAGAATATTAAAACTACATAATATTTAAAGAATTTTAGGAATACTTTATTTATTCCTGATATTGTAAGTTTTAGATGGAATGATGCTATATTTCTTTAGGAAACTACTTTTAATTGAGATTTTTAACTAAATCAGATGGCTTTCTGTAATTAGATGCTAGTGCTGCCATAGCAAAGAACAACAGACTGGCTGGCTTAACCAACAGATATTTGTTTTCTCACAATTCTGGAGGTTTGAATTCTAAGATCAAGGTGTTGGCAGGTTTGGCTTATTCTGCAGCTTTCGTCCTTGGCTGGTAGATGACTGCCTTTTTCCTGTGTTGTCACATGGTCATCCCTATGTCTGTGTTTTCTCTCTTCTATCTCTTCTTCTAGGACATTAGTGATATTGATTAGGACCCACCCTAATGACCTCATTTTAACTTCTTTAAAGGTTGTATGTCCAAATACAGTCACATTTTGAGATACTGGGCATTAGAGTTTAAATATATGACTTCTGAGGGGGGACACAATTCAGCCCATATACCTTCTTACTAGTATAGTTTACTATTATTTGGTTTATCTAAATCTTATACAGGTAACAGTCTAGGATAAATATTATTATAATGAAAATTTCTGCATGACATAAAGCTTTCTATAGAGAAGTCAAGAGCCTATTAATTTTAACCAGTTTGATTAATAGAAATTAATGTATCACAAAGTAATTACAACAGAGCTTTAGAGGTGATTGTTAAAATATGATTTGGCAATACTTGATAGATGTTGCTATTTATTAAAGCCTGTATAAACATTTTGTAATTTTTGTGTCCAATTAAAAATAACACTACCTGAGAATTATTGATCACTCTATATAGTAGGCATTGTTTTGAGGACTTTACAGATAATAATTTGATTAAGTTTCACAGCGCTTTATGAGGTAGGTACTATTAACCCTCTCCTCTTGGGGAGAAAGCTGAAATACACGGAGATTAACCAATTAGTTTTTTAAGTAAAATAAGCATAACTGTGGCATGAACCCAGGAGGTCTGTCTCTAGATACTGTGTTTAGAAGCACTGTGAGTTGTCTTCAAAGTTGTCATTGTGAAAGCTATATAATGACGCTAAAAGTATTACTTTATTCAGATTTTTAATTTTTGGAAATTGGCCTCATAAGCCAGTTTGTGAATCATGAATGAAAATAAATTCCATTAGTTTATAGTTATACGTACTTTAAAACTAAAATTGGCATTCTCAGTATAAGATATTCAAAATATAAAGCTCTAAATTACTTTTAATGTTTTAAAAATATTAAGTACCCTTGTGTTCACTTTTAATAAACAAATGTAGGAGTTCCAGTTATTTGTGGGTCTGCCAAGGAGAGAGAAATTGGCAGAATCCAAAAGGAGTATTATAATAAAAGTCTTCAGGTGTCTATGACCAGTAGAATTTTAGAGATTAAAAGGAATTGGACCATTTCCTATGACATAAAGTATTGCCTACACGAACAACTTAGTATATCAATGAAGTAACTTTCTTTTTTTCCAACAAATAATTACTGTCTTACGTTTTTTTCCTTGCCTACTATCTTGAAAGATTTTAAGCCTTCAGAAAAAATTTAAAGACTAGTAATTTTCATTAACCTAATTTTATCAGTTAAAGTTTTGCTACATTGTTTTTTTCTGCCTCTTTCTCTTCCTAGCCTCACTTTTTTTCCTGAACCATATGAAAGTAATTTGTTTACATCATTTGACTTTACCCCAACACATATCAGTGCATTCCTCCTAAAAATGAAGATATTTTCCTAAATAGCCAAAAATACATTGATCACGTCCAAGAAATTTAACAGTAATAATAATAATTATCTGAAATGTAGTTCATTTTCAATTTTCTTTTACTTGTCCAATATCTTTAGTAGCTTTTTTAAAAAGGTAAATATCTCCTAATTTGATCTTCCATACTATGTTCTGATGAGCCAGAACATAAGTGGACTCAAAGAGTCTTTTTAAAATATATAGCATTCAATTAACTTAATTTTATCCTCTTCTTTTATTTTGGATCTTTTGTTATTAGTGGTTTTATCAATAGAAATTTTCCTATAAACTTTCCACTGCTAAAATAAAACATTGGGATAGTTCAGAAGCAGGAGGCTAATCTTTGTATATATGTAGTTTGTTTTTTTCACATACATTATTACTACTCATTTTTCCTAAGGTGTTTTTTTTAAGGCATCTCTTGTGCTAAAAATAGATATTTTAAGATTTCCTATAGAGCTAATATGTGGCCATGCTGAAAGAGTCTATATTGTCATATTTATATATTCTTAATTGTTTTCTATTTGTTATCAGAAAGTTATACCTTTAATTACTAAGGTATATTGTTTGTTTTCAGGAGATTAAGCGATGAAAAAAACCTTCCTCTTGACGGTAAACGGCAACGTTTCCATTCACCCCACCAAGAGCCAACTATAGTTAACCACATAGTGCCTTTATCAGGTGAAAGAAGATACTCAATGCCGCCATTGTTTCATACAAACTACGTACCAGATATAGTCAGATGTGTTCCACCTTTTCGAGAAATATCAATTTTAGAACCTAGAGAAATCACACTGCCTGAGGCCAAAGATAAGGTAATGATAATATAATTTTAGTTTTACCTTTTGGGAAATTACTGTATTTTGCTGTGTATAATGTGCACTTTTTTGCCTAAATTTTTGAGAGGAAAATAAGTTATACATGGTAATACTGAAATACCTTGTATCTATTCTTGTGTTTTGTAGTTATTTATTACATAACAAATACGTTCATAATATGTTCAAAAATAAATGCTAAAATTCCTTTATAATACAAAAAACAAGTATAAAAATATAAGTGAGTAAAAAATTGAATTAGAAAATTAAAACGAAAGATTTTTTTTCCTGAAAGTTTGGGCCAAAAACATGGGTGTGCACCATACATAGCACAATATGGTAATTATCATATTAAAAGTATCAAAAATATCTAATGTCTTGGATTGAGTAGAACTTGTCTTTTTTGCACTATTTAAAGTAGTTTAACATAGTTCTCTGTCAAAATTTGAGTTTTTGATTTTCGCTATTTTTTAATGGAAGTTCAACTTTCCTATCATGATATGAGATAGCTCTGTTTCATAAAAATCTGTGATTAGAGCCCAAAACATTTGATTTCTTAGTTTAGAGTACTCTCTTGTTACTTATTACAGAAAAACAGTTTTCACATGGATATTGTAATAAAGTGTTAAAAAGCATTTTCTTTTGGGATATTTTTGTTTGTTGTGCAGTTTTTGCATGTCAAAAACAGAAGAATCCAGGAATCACTGAGGAAGTAATACATTCAAAATAAGAAAGCTTTTTCAAAAACATTATTTGTAAAGAAAAAAATTCAAATAAATGAAATGAAGCTATTAAATAATTGTTTTTGGAAAATAACATCAGCATTGGGGAACAATGAGTTACTTCATACCAATATTAGAAATATGTTTCTTCCCTTTCTCCTATACATATATTTTTTTAGGTTTTATTTATTCATTTTTAGAGAGAGTGGGAGGGAGGGGGAAGAGAGGGAGAGAAACATCAATCAGTTGCCTCCCCTACCAGACTGAACCAGCATGTGCCCTGACTGGAAATTGAACTGGCAGCCTTTTGCTTTGCAGAATAGTGCCCGACCAACTGAGGCACACAGGTCAGGGCCCCTTCTCCCAATATTTAATGGAACAACAATGACAAAAATTCCAAGGTGATTTAGAAGAGTTTATAATGTAAATACCTGCATTCTCTGATATTATCTATGGCTTATATTTGCTGTTTTGGCATTTTCAAAGTTGGTTCACTCTTGAGAAATATGACATTTGTATGCTAATGAGAATGAGCCTGAAGGGTGGATAGTGACTTTGTATTATTCCTCTTGGGTTCCTAGCAACCAGCATAGGTCTAGAACAGAGTAAGCATACAGAAAATGGTCAAAAGAGCACTTTTGTTCATTCCTTCATTGTGCTGCTTTTTATTACTTCTTTTCTTAACTGAGAAAAATTGTACATAAAATTTACAAATAATTCTTTTAAAGTGTATTTTTCAGGGGTTTTTAGTATATTCACAAAGTTGTGAAATCATGTTCCCAGTAGCAGTCCCTTCCCCATCCCTTCTCCTCCCCTTAGCTCCTGGTGACCCCTAGTCAGTTTTTTATCTTTGGATTTGTCTGTTCTGGACATTCCATATGAATGGAATCATACAATTATGGTCTTGCTTCTTTCACTTGGCATGTTTTCAAGGTTCATCTTGCTCATAGCTGTGTATTAGTTCTTTAATCTTTTTTTATAGCTTAATAATAGTTGTTGTGTAGGTATGCCATATTTTGTTTATACATTCTTCAGTTGATAGACTTTTGGGCTGTTTCCACTTTTTAGCTATTCTGAATAATGTTGCTGTGAAGATCTGTGTACAGGTTTTTGTATGGCCATATTTTCATTTCCCTCAGGTAATATCTAGGAGTGAAATTGCTAGGTTATGTGGAACCTCAGTATACAACTTTTTGAGGAATTGACAGAGTTTTCTAAAGTAATTGTACCATTTTACATTCCTACTAGCAGTATATGAGCATCCTAATTTCTCTACTTTCTTGTCAACACTTGCTATTGTCTTTTTGATTATAACCATTCAAGTGGGTGTGAGACAGTATTTCATTTCCTGTTGACTAATGATGTTGATCATCTTTTCATTTGCATGTTGGCCATTTGTGTATCTTCTTTGGAGAACTGCCTATTCAAATCCTTTGCCCACTTTTGGGGGGTGGTTATTATTTTTAGTTTTGAGTTTTAAGAGTTCTTTATTTATTCTGAATACTAGACATCTATCAGGTTATTGATTTACACATATATTCTCTCATTCTGTGGTTTGTCTTTTTACTTTTTTGATGGTGTCCTTTGAAGCACAAAAGCTTTCATTATGATAAAGTCCAATTTACCTGGTTTTCTTTGATTGTTTAATCTTTTGGGGTTGTCTAATAAACCATTAAGGTGTTACTCTAAGAGTTTTGTAGTTTCATCTCTTAGATTTAGGTCTTTGATATATTTTGAGCTAATAAAGTAGGGGTCCAACTTTATTTGTTGTTGTTCAGTAGTTCCAGCACTATTTATTAAAAACAGTCATTCTTTTTTTTTAAATTTAATCTTTATTGTATTTTTTCCATTACCATTTCAGTCCATTATACCTCTCTCCCTGTCATTTCATTTCTTACTGTGAAATAGGAAAAGCAATTAGTCAAAACCTGTGGGAGGCAGGAAAAAGCAAGGTACAATTAGAAAAGACTAACTTGGGATGTTTTGGTACCATTTTTCCCTCTGCCCTTTTCTCCTTTCTTTGCTTTCTCATTTTGCTATTTTTTAGAAATTGATTTTAGGTTGAGAGAGGAAGGGGGAGAGAGAGCAAGAAAGATATATTGATTTGTTGTTCGCTTATTTATGCATTCATTGGTTGCCTTTTGTATGTGCCCTGACTGGGGCTCCAGCCTGTAACCTTGGTTTTTCAGGACGATGCTCTAACCGCTGAGCAACTGGCCAGGGACTGCTTTCTCATTTTATTATATTTTTTAAAAGATTATTTATTTATTTATTTATTTTTAAAGAGAGGTGAAGGGAGGGAGAAAGGAGGAGAGAAACAACAATGTGTTGATCGGTTGCTTCTCACATGCCCCTAAATTGGGACCTGGTGTGCAACCCAGGCATGTGCCCAGACTGGGAGTTGAACTGGCAACCTCGTGGTTTGCAGTCCGGCACTCAGTCCATTAAGCCACACCAGCCAGGGCTGCTTTCTCATTTTGAAGAACTCTTGTCATGCTGTAATGTGAAAGCTTATGATATAAATGAAATCAGATCAATTTTTTGAATGAATATGTAAGAGTCTTATATATGGAGTTTTAATATGTATACAGCTAGACTCATTTTTATGGCATTTATAAGTATTGTAGTTCTGTATTTTTGCATGTATTTATATATTTATAAATTAAAATTATTTTATTAACTACTAAAACTAAATAACTGCTAGTTTCTACATATGAACTAGGTATATGTTGAGTCTCAGTAAATTTAGTAACATAATTCACATTAGTCAGTTAATATCCAGTAAAATGTGGTTCCATATTAATAACATTTTCTTTACCTTGTAGCAGAGAAAAAGATTGTCTTAAATCTTATGTTCTTGGAATAAGCATTAATATCAAAGGGGTAAAGATACATTTTGTCATTAAACCAATTTCTTTGAGTACTACTCTGTGCCTGCCTGTTTGTGGGAGAACGAAAGCAAGCAATTAGTTCTGTGCTCATTCTTTAAATGAACGCTTTTTAAGAAAACTAATGTATACCAATGTCTCTTCTTTTCCAGGCATTCTAAATATGCTATGTCATTTAGTCTTTTCAACTCCCCTATGGCATGGATATTATCCTAATTTTACTGTGCACAAGGTCACAGCTAGTTAAGTGATACAACCAAGATTTGACCCTTGCTGCTAATAATACAAAGAAAAGAAACTTAAGATGCTTAAAATAAAGGGTAGGGAGATGACATTCTTAGAACTGACTATAATACCAGGTAATCTGTGGCAAAAATAGCTAATATTTATTGACCATCTTTCTTTGCCAGCAGTGTGTTCAGTGGTTTGTGTGGTTTACCTCTGCTACAGCATAAAATGAGTGGGAAGTTCAGTGTGTCATGAAAGAGGAGCAGTGGTTTGGAGCCTTGAATTCACAGTACAAGGCCATTGAAGCTTTTAGAATAGAGGACTAGCACCATCAGATTGGTACTTCCGGGAAAACAGTTCTCATGGTCTAGTGAAGTTTGGTTTGGAATAAGGAAGGCCTGGAAGATGGATGATTACCTTGAATGCTATTAAATTCATTCAGATGAGAGGTATTGAAGCTTTCCATTGTGGCAGGTGAAAAATATGTGAGAGACCAAGCATAAGGAAAATTGGTAGGATGTGTGGAATGATTGAATATAGGGGAGAGAGGGAGAGAGTCATCATTGACTCTAATTGATATGATTCTGGACTCCTACCAGATAAGAAACCTAGATTTGGGGTATATAAGCTAATTGAGGAACTAGTCAAGACTTATTTGAAACTGGGAAAAATCTGCTACAGCATCTGTGCTCTTGAGAAACCTCATGTTCTGCAAATTATACACTAAGAATATAGGGCTATGGGAAAATAGGGCTGGAACAGACCAAATACTTTTGTAACCAGAACACTAGCTAGAATAATAATTGCTGCCTTGGGAAATAAATTGGGCCGATTGACTGGTAGGTGGCTTAGCATTGCCGGATGCTGCTAGAGGGGATATTAAAAACATGCAGAATAGAGTTGAGAGTGGCTGGGGCTTGGCACTGAGCCAAGGCAGTTAAAAGTGGAGCTCTGAATCAGTGAGGCTGCTGCTAAGGTAGGCACAAAAGGAAATACACCAGCTGAGAGCGGTGTAAGGCTGGGGGTATGTTTTATTGATTGGGAACCCTGAATACAGATGCTTTTTTTTTTTTTAGTTGTCTTAGATCTATAATGACTCTTGCCTGTGCAACAGCCAAGCTAAGGGCTGCTTTTCTTTCTTACGAAGGTTATAATTCCACTG